AAAGCTCCGACCCCCTCCACCCCTCCCCTTGATATGCCAAACAAATAGCTAGGCCTAAGCCCTTTGATTTCCTAACAGGCTGTGTACTCCTAAATCTTTGGCTGCTGATAGAGAACCGCTTTAATCTTTAATTAGCGCTGGATGCTGTTGAACACAAGCAGCACCCGAGCTGATGAAAACTCTTGGGACTTTTGTATATCGGATATTAGACTTTTGTATATCGGATATTAGACTTTTGTATAGCGGATATTAGACTTTTGTATATCGGATATTAGACTTTTGTATATCGGATATTAGACTTTTGTATATCGGATATTAGACTTTTGTATATCAGATTTTAGATTTTTGTATATAGGATATTAGACTTTTGTATATCGGATACTAGACTTTTGTATATCGGAAATTAGACTTTTGTATATCGGATATTAGACTTTTGTATATCGGATATTAGACTTTTGTATATCAGATTTTAGACTTTTGAATATCAGATATTAGACTTTTCTAAACCAGAAATTAGACTTTTTTTTTACTAAACCAGAAATAAGATTTAGTAAACCAGAAATTAGAATTTTCTATACCAGAAATTAGATTTTACTGTACCAGAAATTAGACTTTTGTATACCAGAAAAAAAGACTTGTATACCAGAAATTAGATTTTATTATACCAGAAATTAGACTTTTGTATACCAGAAATTAGACTTTTCTGACCAGAAATTAGATTTTACTATACTAGAAATTAGACTTTTGTATACCAGAAATTAGACTTTTGTATACCAGAAATTAGACTTTAGTTTGGACTTACTTGACAAGACTTCAATCACCTTTCCCGCAGTTCTCACACCCCACCCCCACCCCAGGTCCTTCCGTCAACAGAAGGATGAGATAACTGTCACACAATGAGTTGTCGCCCCTTGCATTTCCCCCCTTGCAGACGATAGGACTGGGCGACGCGCGAAAAACGTTTGATCTCATCAGGTGGTAGACACCTCGCGCGCTCGACCGGCGGGCAGCCGGAGAATGACAGGTATTCTTTGATCACGTCAAGCTACTGATGTCAAAATACTGCAGTCCTTCTACCGCTTTCATGCGGGCTTCTTCTTTTTACAAGTCCAAAATAAAACGATGCTCTTCACATTATTGAAAAGTCGTTACATTTACACATTTTAAAGGAAAAAAAATATTTTGGTCATTAAAAACCTTATTCTTTAAGTGAAAATTCGTTTATACGAAATCATTTGAGACCTTTTCAGGAATTTTGTATTGAAGAAATCTTATTTTAAATATACAATTATTTTCGAATCATTACATAATGATATTAATATTCTATTTTAACAACAACAAAAAACGAAGCCATGGGTGGATATTGGATTATGGATTTTAAATTATTTTTTTTACAATCAGCTAGGTGAAATTATTGAGTGAGAAATATAAAATCGTGTGGCACCATAAAATGGCACCACACCACACAACCACAAAATGGCACCAGACAACCGCTCCAGGCAATTACGACAAATTATTGTCTTTTAATTATCTACTTTCAATAACGTGTACGCCGAAACTGACAAAAATGTCTAATTTATCTTTTAAAGTGGCTAATGAGCCACATTTTATCGAGCATAAAAGATGTGCCGCAGAAGGAGAGATGGAGTACATCTTCTTTTGTTACTTCCAAGGACCCCCCCCCCCCTCCATGAACCTCATCTATAAATAAAACAGATTAGTAATTGACCGTGTTAGTATCCAGTTTAAAATTTTAGGGTATTGTTTAAAGATAACCTTAGATTTAAGCAAAATGAAAATTGGGAATGAATTTATTTTCTCGACATTGTATTACCCCCCCCCCCCGTACCACATTCTATGTCAGTCTTTTGTTATATGGTTTGTATGGTGTGTGGAACTAGTAGTTATGGCTAATAGTGCTATTCAGTCTCATATACACTTTCACATACACATTCACATACACTTTCAGTATGGTGTTGACCACTTTGTCACGTTAGATCACGTGTCTTGTGTGCCTCCACTCCTTGACATTATGGCCCTACACTAAAGAGCTTCTACACCACCAGCTCAATTCGACAATCTGGTAAGCAAAACCATCACACTAGCGGGTTGTTAGCAACCATCACACTAGAGGGTTGTTTGCAACCATTACACTAGAGGGTTGTCAACCATCTAACGGGTTGTTTGCAATCACTCACGGGTTGTTTGCAACCATTACACTCACGGCTCGAAACGAAAACGAGGCAACATGTTTTTATTTTCCCAACCAGTTCCGACATGCGCCGTGGACTACCACCAAGTGTTCGTCTGTGAATGAACCCCCCCCCCCCCCCAACCCAACCACCCGCCCCTCCATCACCTGGTATCCAGCCCCAACACCTGTATCCCACCCCGCCTCCCCAAACCCATTGTTTCTTTATCCCCCTCGGCCCGCCGACGTGTATACTAACTACAAAAACACCCTCCCCTCCCCCCTTTCTCCCCCCCCCCCCCCCTGACAACAAGGCGAATAATGACAGACCCTGAATAAGAAGGTTTACAGCATCCCGCGCGGCCTTTGATCTTCAACTCATGTGTCGTCTGCCTCTCAAAACATCAAACACGACGATTATCCAAAGCGAGGCTTCACCTCAACTCCGCCGGGGAATCGAGCCCGGTGAATTATCGATACCGCAGATACGAGACTGCAAGGTACTAAGGGAGTTCATTAGAAGTAATCGAGTACAGAGAATAGGCACGGGTAAGACGGAAAATAAACAGAAAAAGTCGGTTACAATGTCGGCCGTTTATTGTGTTGGTAAATACATTGGTTTGTTATTGAATTTATCAATTTAAAAAAAAATAATCAATTAAAAAAAAAAAACGATTTTTTTTTTACCTCAACCATGCTAAGATTTACTTATGAAACGTAAAGCGACGTTTAATGCTATAAATAAATTGACCAAAGTTATTGTTTTTAAAGTCAAGTGAACGAAGGCATCTGTCGCGAGCGACCTGATCTGTTTGTTGACATGGAGTCACGTGATTGTGGTAAAATTTCGTCTTTAAAGTGGATTTATAAAAATAAACAAACTTTAAGTTTTTTTTCCCTCCTTAGAAATGTAAAAGCTTAAAAAAATCGTGTTGTAAAACTTTACTTTGAGGATAGATATGTTTACATTGAAACCACATTTTCGTTTACTTTGAACACCCGACCTTGACCCTAAAAATATTTGTTCGTATCACCTTTGAAATGCTACTGAGAAAGATTTTTTAATCAAACTATAATCACTACTGAGGTCTGCTATTGCAGCGATAGGTTTTTTTTTAAAATGTTTTCATACAGAGTATTCAGGAAGTATTGTAATCATGCACACAAATTAAACGAGACAGCTTCGTGTCGTTTTACATCTACCAACTTTCTCGTATACGGAATATAAAGGGTGTATTGTAATCGTGCAAGATATCAAAATCAAGATTTTGAATAATCTCGACGTTTTACACTGCCCCCCCCCCCCCTCCCCACACCACCTAGTCGGAAAAACAGTTATGCTATTTGATCTGTGTCTGTAAACACAATAATTTGAGGTTCGTTTCAGTTAGGCTGACGAAATTTCATATAAATCAATCTGTAGTTTTCTATCAACTATTCGGAAAACAGATCGGGTACTTACACCACATCCGATTTCTCAAAAGTACCGTTTCAGTTAGGATGAGTAACCGGAAAGGGGTATTTCACTTTTGATTTCTCAAAAACCTTCAGAATTCGGTTATGTTAATATTATATTCTCATAAAGTATGTTCTAAGAACTGCTCGCATCATTGTATTTTCTCTCCAAACTTCTATCTCTCTCGCCTATTGCACCGAGTACCATCCCTACACTTACTATTGTAAAAGACAATACGAGAAAGTTTAAGGGAGCTCACTCCCGCTTTTTTTAAAATTTGTGGACTTTGAAATAGTTTGTTTTATATGTTTACTGTTTTGCGGAATTTCCCAAATCATTTTTTTTGCGTTTGTGTTTTTGTAACTAAGTTGACAAAAAAATCTATTTGTTTTTCTATTTGATATACACTTGCGACACGTATACTATACGTGTCTTGGAAACAAAATCTCTCAAGAAGTTAATGTTTTATGAATTTTTTTTCCCCCACGGAACATTTAAACTTACTTGTTGCGAGTTAATTCCTAGACATGTTGCAAATGTAAATGCGGTTTTAGGGGGCTTAAATTCATTAAAAAATTCTGTGACTTCATTGAAGGGCGAGCATCGTGATGCATTATCTAATCAATGTATTAAATTATAAAATTTCTAATGACTTCCCTTAATGACTTCCCTTAATGACTTCCATTAATGACTTCCATTAATGACTTCCATTAATGACTTCCCTTAATGACTTCCCTTAATGACTTCCCTTAATGACTTCCCTTAATGACTTCCCTTAATGACTTCCCTTAATGATTCCCTCAATGACTTCCCTTAATGGCTTCCCTAAATGACTTCCCTTAATGACTTCCCTTAATTACTTCCCTTAATGACTTCCCTTAATGACTTCCCTTAATGACTTCCCTTAATGACTTCCCTTAATGGCTTCCCTTAATGACTTCCATTAATGGCTTCCCTTAGTGACTTCCCTTAATGACTAGCCTTAATGACTTCCCTTAATGACTTCCCTTAATGACTTCCCTTAATGACTTCCCTTAAAGACTTCCCTTAATGACTTCCCTTAAAGACTTCCCTTAATGACTTCCCTTAATGACTTCCCTTAATGATTTCACTTAATGACTTCCCTTAATGACTTCCCTTAATGACTTCCCTTAATGACTTCCCTTAATGACTTCCCTTAATGACTTCCCTTAATGACTTCCCTTAATGACTTCCCTTAATGACTTCCATTAATGACTTCTCTTAATGACTTCCCTTAATGACTTCCATTAATGACTTCACTTAATGACTTCCCTTAATGACTTCCATTAATGACTTCCCTTAATGACTTCCCTTAATGACTTAATGACTTACCCGGCAGGCGAGCCGTCGTTGCACGTGACGTCCGTGTTACGCAGAAGTTTCTTCTTCATGTTTGACGTCTCCTTGACGCCGCAAGAGTGCATCATGATGTGACGCAACAGGTGCTGACTCCTGCTGCCCAGCTCGTGGAGTCGGCTGGAGCTGTAGGTGACGTCAGGGGAGGGGGTGGAGGGGGTGGTTGAGGGCGGGGACGGGGAGACGGAGGGGGTAGCGGCAACCACACACATCTGGAAGGTCCCGAGCAGGAGGATGAGAGACGGCATCGTTAGGCTGGAAGAGAAGAGAAACATGGTCAGTGCTGGGTAGGTGGAGTAGAGTTGAACTGTTTTGTCACGCCGGTGTAAGGATGGAATGAGTGGACAGAGTTTTGCCAGTCTCGGGTACTAACAGAGCTGGGTGTAGAACCACCGCCAGGTACCCATTAGGGCTGAATGAACAACTTGCACCATATACCCGTTAGGGTCTATAATGTAGAGAATACTGGACAATTTTTAGATTACAGGGTTGTTATTGTTTTAGTGACGGTCAAAGTTCAATGCTGCGTGGTGTTAGTTAAGTGCACAACAAATACAACCAAAGTTTATTTTAAAATTAGAAACAAAGGACAACTGTTTGGTCTATAAGCACGGTGCTAAATGTAACCTTGGTAGAGCTATTGTATGACCTTGGTAGATCTATTGTATGACCTTGGTAGATCTATTGTATGACCTTGGTAGAGCTATTGTATGACCTTGGTAGAGCCATTGTATGACACTGATAGATCTATTGTATGACTTTAATAGTGCTACTGTACGACCTTGTAGAGCCTTGTATGACCTTGGTAGAGCTATTATATGACCTTGGTAGAGCTATTATATGACCTTGGTAGAGCCTTGTATGACCTTGGTAGAGCTATTATATGACCTTGGTAGAGCTATTATATGACCTTGGTAGAGCCATTGTATGACACTGATAGATCTATTGTATGACTTTAATAGTGCTACTGTACGACCTTGTAGAGGCAGTTTGACATTAGTGGAATGCCCTTGGTAAATCACCTGTTTTTCACCAAATGGGCATTCTTGCCTATTTTATTGGCAAACTATTGTTAATTAGTTTAAACTTGAAGGCGCACGTTCATAAGCTGAGATTCCATACAATACTACTTGCTTTTACAGTCGTTTACTTCCCAGTCTGAATATTAAGAAGTGTCTGGTGTTACGGTGTGTACAAATATACATGAAGAAATACAAAACAAACTCGAGGCTCGATACAATGCCACGATTACATGCCCTTGTTGTCTTCAGACATTTATTATAGTTAACTGCACCTAAAAGACGGTGTGTAAATGTCGCTTGTTATGGGTTTCAACTCCACACAATAAAATCCTAATTAAAGCTTGTTTATCTGTGGTATTCATTAACCCCTCCCTGCCCCAGCCCTCCTGGCGTCCACCCCCCCCCCCCCCCCCCTGCCCCAGACACACCTGTACCGCGCGACGTCTTTAATTACGGGCCGCCGGAATATGTCCGAGCCTGTCGGAAAGTGAAGGTTTATCGTCGGGCTAAGTACGGACCAATTAAGGCAGGCCCGCTGTTCTCTGATCTCACAACTTCTCAAAGACATTCCAACAATAGCTCGGCCACTGGCTTAACGGTTCTCAAATTATTCTCAAGCTACGGGCTTCCTTGGACCATTTTTTTTCCTCCCAGGTATTCTCAGAAATTTAAATCGAGAAGTTTTATTCTTCCTCCAGTTCGGAGAAAATTCATATTTTTGACCGATACAAATGTTAACAAGATACAAATGCTAGCAACTTATTACATCTCGACAATAAAGACGTCACGCTAATTTGGATTTTAATGTCGTTTCTTAGAGTCACACGCCGTAAACCCCCCCCCCCCCCCCCCCCAATGACGCAACAGCCCCCTTCCTCTCCACTGCTAAATTAACTATTAACCATCATTTACGCTGGGCGACCAACCGAAGAGTTTATCTCTAAGTGTAGTTCATGTTGGCATTTAATATAATACATAGTATTATTTCTGATTAGCTTCCCTAGGAGCTCAGTTGACGTTCTGTTCTTCCAATGATATCTCTTGTAATGACATCCCTTTCCATGGACCCATCAAGATCCTACAGGGGTTCTAAAAATTAAATCTAAGTCAACGCGTTATGATCAAATCTTCGGTCTGAGTTTATGTTATAACTCGGACATTTGAGATGTCATTTGGTTTGATGCAAACAATATTAATGTCATATCTAAAAGAGACAAATGTCATATTTAATTAAACAAATTTAAGATCTAAAAGGGATACGTAATTTAAAACAACATGTTGTCATTTAAAGTAGACATATTAATTAAACTAGACAAATGCCGTTTTTTAAATAGACACATGTCTTTTTTTTAAGGTATACAAATTTTATATTAAAGTATACAAATGACATCTAAAGTATACAAATGCTATATCAAAGAGAGAAGAAACTCATGTAGACTACGTTTTTTCTTAAATAGAGGAAGTAACTCTGGCACATCTCACAGGTAGGTTATTGTTCTTGCTAGATGAAAGGCCAGGTTATCCCCCTTCCCTGATTAGAGCGGATTAAATATAACATTTTTTACAATACGCAAACGTCTCAAACAGAGGCTGGTTTTTTTAAAACTCATAATGAAATGTAAACTAACTTATCGCTAGACATTCCAGGCAAGCCAAACTAACAAAATTGTTTCCTTGATGCTGTTGTGTTTTTTTGTGTTTAGATTTGTACACAAATAGATGGATGCGCACGCTACGGGTTGTGTGATTTTTATGTCATTAAGCTAATTAAACGCCTTGTCTTTTACGCACAGAGAATGCGTTAAAAAAACATTCTTGTCGGTATTTTAATCGGAATGTTTGTTTTCTCTTGCACATACTGGGGAATGTTCTAACTCGGCCTTCTAAAAAATATCAAGTATTTTCAACCTGAGTATAAGAGGACTGGACGTAATGTCAATCAAGATGTTGGACGGGGTACATGCCATATAGCCAGCCCTAAAAGACAGCACTCGACTTTTGAGATGATTTCCTTGTGTTAAAAATAGCCTTAATAAAAAAAAAGTAAAGTACCCTTTCAAATCTTACAGTTCATGGGGCAGGTGAAGTAGAGTCCACCTGTTTCAGTAACCTCGGCATACGAAGGGATAGTTCGGTCAGGACTATGAACAGCACCCTCTAGTTTCCCTAGCGTGAAACGGGTACCCATCAGAGCTGGGTGGACTCAGTGAGTCGGGTACCCATCAGAGCTGGGTGGACTCAGTGAGTCGGGTACTCATCAGAGCTGGGTGGACTCAGTGAGTCGGGTACCCATCAGAGCTGGGTGGACTCAGAGATCCTAACTCGAGACTTTCGGACTAGTAGTAAAAATAAATACGGCCGTTTTAATGAAATGATTTCAATACCCTGCCCCCCTCCCCCCCATGGGAGGCAGCACAAGCAACATGTAAATCTAAGACTTACTGATCATAGTTTGGTTATTGTGTCGCTTGACTTGTAGCGTGGGATCGAATCCACGTCCAGGCGGAAGTGAGAAAAATTTTGTCCACTTCACACGAACCGAAATCACACAAAAGTGAATTGAAACCACACAAAGGTGAATTGAAACCACGTAAAAAAAAAACAACAATGTGAAATAAATCCAGAAGACGGAGATCAGGTAAAAAACGTGCGAATTACACCCACGGTGGGGCCGTAGGAGCAGTCTGATGCGTGAATGTGGCCCAGCGTAATTCAACTTCACCCCGGGCACGTAACGTTTTTAACCCTGCATTAAGCCCCGGGGTGGGGGAAGGCTCCCACCGGCCTTTGATGTTTATTTTGATATTTAAATCAAAAAAATAAATCACATTTAAACCCGATTGATACCCCGCGCTACAAGACGCCCCGACCACCTGATGAAAAACATCAATCTACAGGTGTTTTCTCTCGCGTGCTGGGCTGGGCCGGTAGGGGTGGGGGCCCGGGTGTGGGGGTGTAGGATACCGCTGCACTAGAGCGCCTCTGGTTTCCGTGAGTTCCAAAAAAAAAAAATTAGAAGTTTTACGGTATATAAGATAACGGAACTCTGCGAGAGGAAGCCTCGGCATTCCGTCTGATGAACATGCATTTTAAAGCCATCTCCGACTCTCGGTGTAATCTCGTTAGCCCGCGACATCGCGTTAACAGTACCCGGCACGAGAGCCAATCTTTTTATACAGGCGCTTGTTAGTGCGATTATTTATGATCCGCCGGGATGGAATTACCAGCTGTGGATGGGGGGCGGGGAGAAGGGGGGGGGGGGTGTACCGCGATGTGTCTATCATATCTAAGACCTGTACATTGAATTTCGATATTACACGTCCGTAGGTATGCGGATAAAATGGAGTGGGGAGGGGAGAGTACGATTAGAAAAAAAAAACGGCGTAGCATCTCTCGTTTGGTTTAAGTCCAGGTTTGTTCTGGCGAACGTCTATAAACTGATAATGTATCTCCAAAGGAAAGTTATCGTAGATTAGGCCCGCAATCAACAAACAGTAAACCTAGGGGGAAATAAAAAAAACAAAAACCCGACCCTGTTTCACCGGCTGGCGTACTCGGAGAGTAATTGGACCCCTAGTTACACTAACCGGGGGAAGATCCCCATCTTAATTATCCCGAATTTCGCCTTTGATGTGGCATGCCTATTTCTAGTTCAAAAATTAAAACGAAACTTTTACATACTCTGATACAATCGCGCTTGTTTCCAGCTTTTTGTGGATTTTTTTTTTTTTTTTTTTTTTTTTTGTTAGTCGGTCGATGAGGACTCGAATTTCTCCAGCCATCATATCGGCAATAAACTAGGCATCTTGCCGCATCCTCCTTCCTTTCATCTGTCAGTCTATTAAACTCGTCAGTTAGAAAAAGAAAGAGCGGAGGGCGGAAGTGACTGCAAGGTGCCGTAGTACATTGTTTACACTTGTAGCCGAGTGTAGAGGCAAGCCTTTGATGGCGCACGGAGGGGCGGCAGAGGAGGGGCGGCAGGTTAGGGCGGTTTAGGGGGCTCGTCTCGCTTTTACTGCGGGGAACTCTTTACCATGTCGGACACGGGGTCAGTCGGTGCTCGTCTGTGTGACTTCTGCTGGCTGGGATAACAAGAATGGCGGCCATGTTAGGATAACACAAATATAAAGGTGATGATAGGATAACACAAATATAAAGGTGATGATAGGATAACACAAATATAGAGGTGATGATAGGATAACACAAATAAAGAGGTGATGATAGGA